AGCAGCAGCAGCAGCAGCAACAGCAGCAACAGCAGCAGCAGCTGCTGATGGCCAGTTAAGCAGCAAAAAGACGAGGAAGAGGCAGCACACAGAAGAAAAGGATACCTCGTCCCTGCTGCTGTCACCGCAGCATGCGTTAGGGGCCCCAGGGGCCCCCCCATCAAGGGGGCCCCTACTCGTGCTGCTGGGGGGCCCCTCTGGCAGCGGGAAGAGCAGCATGCTGCCGCTGCTGCTGCATCTTTTATCAGCAACATTTCCTTCTCTATTAACAGCAACAAATAAGGAGGGGGGCCCCCAAGGGGCCCCCTGTCCCTATCTGCTGCTGTCAACAGATGCACTAAGACAACTCCTTAGAACTGCTGCTGACGCTGCAGGGGCCCCTGCTGCTGCTGCAGCAGCAGCAGCAGCAGCAGGAGCAGCAGCAGCAGCTAAAGGGGCCCCCCATCTTTCTCTGTATCGTGATTTGATATTTAGCAGCACATACAAACTAAAACATCTTGCAGAGCAGCAGCTGCAACGAGCAGCGCCTGCAGCAGCAGCAGCAGCAGCAGCAGCAGCAGCAGGAGTACCTGCTGCTGCTGCTAAGGAGATAACTGAGCTGCGGCGCAAGATAGAAGAAAACATAAAAGAAGAATTAGGGTTTGTTCGTGGGGCCCCCCAACCAACCCCTTGTGATGCATGCGGGGAGGGGGGCCCCTGCTGCTCTTTATTAGGTATGCTGCAGCAAGCAGTCTTGCTGCAGCAGCTAATCCTTGAGCCCTTAATTGTTTCCTTAATGGATGGGGGGCCCCCCTTTAGTAGTACCCCTCAGGGGGCCCCTCCTCCTACGAAGGAGGAGGAGGCGGGTTCCCCTAAGAAGAAAGGGGTTTGCCCAAAGGGTAGGGGGCCCCCTTCCTCTGGGGCCCCCAAGGGGGCCCCCCAGGTGCTAATGGTAGAAGGGGTACACCTTACGCCTGCATTTGCTGCGCGCATGCAGCGGATGTATGGGGAGCGTTGCTTGTCTCTTGTTGCTTTTTGTTACTCACGTGATGAGCATATAAGGAGACTAGAGAGGAGACAGCCTGATGCTGCTGCTGCTGCTGCTGCTGTACAAGGTGCTGCTGCTGCTGCTGCTGCTGTTGTTGAAGGAAAAGATGCAGCAGCAGCAGCAACTGCAGCAGCAGGAAAAGAAAAGCAGCAGCAAGATAGCAAACTTAAGGAGCAACGTGCAGAGAACGGCGGTCAACAAAAGAAACAATGTGGCAGCAGCAGCAGCAACAGCAGCAGCAGCAACAGCAGCAGCAGCAGCAGCAGCAAAGGCAGCAACAGGTATCTGCAGAATCTATCATGCATTCGGTGTGCGCAACTGCACTTATGTCTTGCTGCTGCTTCTACCCTCTCTAGCAGCAGCAGCAGCAGCAGCGGGAGCAAGATAAGCAGCAAGAGCAGCAGCAGCAAATACATCAAAACGAGCAGCAGCAGCAGCAGCAACAGCAGCAGCGACGTGCATGCAGGTCTCTTCCTCAGTGAGTTGTCGCATAAGGGAACAACAACAACAGCAGCAGCAGCAGCAGCAGATACGCATGCAACTCTTAAAACCCTAAGAGAAATGATACTGGGGGCCCCCCAGTGGGGGCCCCCCGCGAGTAAAAAAATACCACGCAGTTACCCAATAGCAACAGATAATATAAACAGCAGCTTGCTGCTGTTGCAGCAGCTAACACGCAGACAATGGGCATCCCTCCTTAATTAATTAATTAATTAATTAATTAATTAATTAATTAATTAATTAATTAATTAATTAGTCAATGAGCCACAATGATTGCTGCTGCTGCTGCTGCTGCTGCTGTTGCAGTCAGTTGGGTACAGCAGTTGCTGCAGTTGCTGCTGCAAATGCGATGCAGCAGCAACAGCAGTGATTCTTTCCTTTATCACCATCAGCAGCAGCAGCAGCTCGTGCTGCTGCTGCTGCTGCTGCTGTTTTGTTTTAGATGTCTGATGAACGAACATGTTTAATATTTAAATATTTTATATAATTAAATAAGACACAATCCCTCCCCATGAATTAGGGTTTAGGGTTTAGGGTTTAGGGTTTAGGGTTTAGGGTTTAGCCTCCTGCAGTACTTCCTCCTGCAATTTTCTTTTGTCTCTCTAATACCTCAGGAAAGAATTTAATTAAGAATGTTGTATATGTTACTCCTTCTCCTTCCTCTACTGTATGTGCAGATACTGCAGCAGGCTGCATGCATACAGCAGCAGCAGCAGCAACAACAATGGCACTTGCAGTTGCACCAATACCGTCACATCAGCAGCACCAGCAGCAGCAGCAGCAGCAGCAGCAGCAGCAGCATCAGGATACGAACAAAGCAGCACTACCCACCACCATCCCAACCACCCCCACCATCACCACCACCACCACAATCAGCAGCAGCAGCAGCAGCAGCAGCAGCAACAGCAGCAGCAACAGCAGCAGCAGCAAATCCTTACGAATTGTGCAGTACATAGTACAGCCTCAATAATGCCGGCAGCAAATGCACCAACATTTAAATTAGATAAATCACGAGGAAGATAAATATAACGACTTAATAATAAATTACGATCATTTAGCATATCTGCATGCATAGGCAGAATATTTATTTATTTATTTATTTATTTATTTATTTATTTAGTTAGTTAGTTAGTTAGTTATATATATAACGACTTAATAATAAATTACGATCATTTAGCATATCTGCATGCAAAATAAATAAATAAATAAATAAATAAATAAATAAATAAATAAATATATTTATTTATTTATTTAGTTAGTTAGTTATGTATAAATATAACGACTTAATAAT